GGCCCCAGGAGCGAGTCCTAATGGAGCTAGTCAACTCTGAAAGCCAAACTTGAGCTCACTCACACATATCAAGCTAATGATCAATTATTAATATTCACAATCTCTAGCCCCAATGTCCCCATATGGGTGTAGACGACAAGCAATTATGTCATGCTTCTCGCTCTCCGGACCAAGCTATGTGAAGCTATTTATAAATATATAAAAGATAGATCTTGTTACGCTGAGTTATTGCCCTCTTATTTCAGATGTACAGATTCAGATTAATTTGTAATTAGTCTTGAGATTTTGAGCCTCTGTAGATAAAGGATTCCAAAGTCTATGCTTCATTCCAGAAACACAGATCTTAAAAAAAAATAAAAAAAGCGAATGCTGGTAGCTGGACTAAAATAGCATAAGCCTAAATGATTGTGCGTGCAGACAAATACAGACACGTATGTCTGAATGCCCTGGCAACAGCGAGCTTGCCAGTAAATGAGTTTTGAAATAAACTGTTATTGTTTAGTTGTAAACATCGAATCCTTGTAATGGAATCTAGGGTCGTGCTTAAGTGACAGCATGTTGGTGGTATTGTACAAACACAGTCTTTTAAAGATGCGAATGTGGATGGGAAAAAAGAAGAAAAAAAAGAAAAAAAATCATGAATAGGGCAGCAAGGCATCTGAAGCCCTTCTCTCAGTAACATTGTTTCAATATCTTCAATATCCTGTCATGCAGCACTTTTCGTCGGGCTTAGGTTCACATTAATTTGCTCCAAATGTCAGATATCTCTCTTCAGATAAAACAGATAGAGGAATAAAGACATAAGGCTCCATCTTTTCTGTGGCCTGTGTAATCGGCAGAATAGCTTTAGTCATATAAGAGGGGGAAGTCTATTAATAGTTGAGTCATCAGTGCAGCAGTGTTCTGAAATGGCAAATGGTTAGCTCCTCAATGGTGATTCTTGCTGTGTTCTGAATGTTCTGAAATGGCAAATTGTTAGCTCCTCAATGGTGATTCTTGCTCTCTGTCAATGACCGATGAACATTATGAACATTTGGTCTGTGGAGGAGATTCTCACTGACATGTGCGAGGGGTGACGCACCGTCAACTGGAAGGATTGGAGTTGTAGAAAGAGTCAACAGTGAAAGGATGACAAAGAAGAGTGAAAGAAAGACTGTGACTAAGACTAAATCAAAATTTGCTGTCAAAATTATCACTGCTTCACATACAGTCGTGGTCAGAATTATTGGCACCCTTGGTAAATATGATCAAAGAAGGCTGTGAAAATAAATCTACATTGTTAATCATTTTGATCTTTTATTAAAAAAATGCACAAATATCTAACCTTCCATTGAACTAAAACACTTGAAAATGGGGGAAAATCTCATTATGAAATAAAAAAATTTCTCAAATACACATTGGACACAATTATTGGTACCCCTAGAAATTCTTATGAGTAAAATATCTGTGAAGTATATTCCCATTCATATTTACAATTTTGAGCATACCAGGGTGATTATGAACATTAAATTATCCAGCCATTGCTTCCTGTTTCACAGGAATATAAATAGGAGGGAAAACAACGGCCAAATTCCCTTAAGCATCCATCACAATGAGAAAAAACAAAGAATATAGGTCTGATGTGCAGCAAAAGATAATTGAGCTTCACAAATTAGAAAGTGACTTTAAGAAAAGAGCTAGAGCAGTGAAAATTCCCATTTCCACCATCAGGGCAATAATTAAGAATTTCCAATCAACAGAAAATGTTACAAATCTGCCTGGAAGAGGACGTGTGTCTATATCGTCCTAATGCACGGTGAGGAGGAGAGTTTGAGTGGCTAAAGACTCTCCAAGGACCACAGCTGGAGAATTGCAGAAAATAGTTGTGTCTCAGGGTCAGAAAACCTTAAAAAAATAAAAATAAATCAAACAGCTCCTACACCACATGTTGTTTGGGAGGGTTTCAAGTAAAATAAAATCAAGAGAAGAAAATGCTCTCATCCAAAAACAATCCACAGCATATTCTATTGTTTCTGAACTTCAAATGGGACTGGCTTCTATGCACAGATGTAACTAAAAAATGAGCTTTTTAGCAACAAACACTCAAGAAGGGTTTGGTGAACATAGGGATAAAAAGTACCCTTTTTTTTATATATATATATATATATATATATATATACCTGTATATATATATATTTATTTGTTTATTTTTTTAGCAGTGATGAGACATTTTTTTCCTAAAAATAATAACCCCCATCAAAATGTATTTTCATTTAGAAATTGTAAACGTGCATTATAGAGGATGTGTATTCAAGTGGTGAGCAGCATGCTATTGACCTTGATAATATCAGTTTTGCACCACAGTCTGTGTTTCAACATTTCTCATCCTGCCTGGATGTTTGTAGATATTTTTTGTTCTAAAATTACTCTCTCAGACTTCATTCAGACATCTCACTCAGATTAATGTGGGTTAAATAAAAGATGTCCAATGCTATTTTTGATGGATGATGTAACCTTGAGTGGGAGGGACAGTTTTAAAGCTTCTCTGCCCAGCTCTCAGCATCTTGAAATGTATTCTGATTCCCTGTGTGCACCAAACCCATCTTGAGTGTTTGTTGCACACAGGGATAAAAAGTACCCCATGTGTACAATGAAATATACTGCTGTATTTTTAAAGTTGTGGGCCTATTTTTCTTCTGGAGGTCCTGGACATCTTGTTTAGATACATGGCATCTTTCATTCTATCAAATACCAACAGATAAAAAATCAAAAAGTGACTGACTAGAAATCTTATAATGGGCCATGTTTGGATCTGTTTGTAGATATTTTTTGTTCTAAAATTACTCTCTCAGACTTCATTCAGACATCTCACTCAGATTAATGTGGGTTAAATAAAAGATGTCCAATGCTATTTTTGATGGATGATGTAACCTTGAGTGGGAGGGACAGTTTTAAAGCTTCTCTGCCCAGCTCTCAGCATCTTGAAATGTATTCTGATGGAGTTGCTCAGTCATGAGACTCTCCTGTGTTTAGGGCGGCATGATAAATCTTTTTATTTCATTTTCCAAGACACTGGACAAGTGCATATAAGAGTAAAACTGGGGATGTCCTTGACCGCACAATTTATAGTCCATGTGGCTGAGGCAAAAAAGCCACGTTTTACAGTTCCTGTCAAGATGCAGACTTTTGGTTAAAGCGATACGTGAAGATGGGAAGAACCGTTAATTTTGTCCTGCATGTAATTCATCATCTTCACATTATAGTGTCAGTCTTTGTGGATGTCTAGTTTGGTAATGTTGTTATTGATCAGACCATCCACATGGTAATTTCCCTAATATCTTCACGTACATCAGTATTGTTTTAATTCTCATTAATGAAAGCGATAGAGGAATGGCTTTTCAAAGCGTATGGCTTTAGAGGGATGCTAATGGATTTAGAAGGTGCTGTAAAGGGATGTGTAAGTCAGCTTTATGATTGCCTGGTGTACTTGTTGTTGATTTGGTCGGGTGGAAAAATGAATAGGAAATCAATGTCAGACGAGGAGTTTTTTTTTTCTTTTTTTTTTCAGTCTGAAGGAGTTTTAAAGGTACAGTGTCATGCTTAAGTAATGCATTAAATGCTGTTTAGCTCCACAACAGTCTGTTTCTTTCTTTCTTTCTTTCTTTCGTTTGTGTTTGGTTTCTTTCGTAATTGGTTAAAAGCATTTTTTTTTTTTGGTCAGAAAAAAAGCTTTTTAAATAGTAACTTGTAATTAAACAGATACTTGAACCCAAACATCTAATTCTGTCTTCATTTACTCAGTCTCATGTATGACTTTCTTTATTTTGTTTAACACAGAAGATATTTTGCAAAATGTCTTAGTTTTGCCCATACAATGAAAGTCAGTGGGGTCCAAACACTGAGACTTTTTTTTTTTTCCTAAATAATATATTTTGATATGAGGGTGAGTAAAAGAGTATTCATTTTTGTAAGAACTATCCCTTTAAAATCATATTGTATAATTTCTGCATCGTACTGTCCTCATTCTCACAGCTTAACCATAGAGAACGTAGTAGCCCTGAACAGACAGCATCCACCCAGGCTTCACTAATAATAAAGTTGCCCATTTTACAAAAAAGTGGGCGTCCAATGAATATTTACCACGATTAAGAGCAGCCAGTCTTACTGAAGTGGGGCTTGTAATAAGATGGCCACCCTCAGGGCCCTCGCA